TCGTGAGGGATGTATGGATATCATGAGGTATGTGTGTGTGTCATGATGTATGTGTGTGTGTCATGAGGTATGTGTGCATGTCGTGAGGGATGTATGGATATCATGAGGTATGTGTGTGTGTTATGATGTATGTGTGCATGTCATTAGGTATGTGTGCATGTCGTGAGGTATGTGTGCATTTCATGGGGTATGTGTGCATTTCATGGGGTATGTGTGTGTGTCATGAGGTATGTGTGCATTTCATGAGGTATTTGAGCATGTCATGAGGTATGTGTTTGTGTCATGAGGTATTTGAGCATGTCATGAGGTATGTGTGTGTGTCATGAGGTATGTGTGCGTGTCATGAGGTATGTGTGCTTGTCATAAGGTAGGTGTTGGTGTCGCTTGTATGTTAGCGTGTGATGGGCTGTTAGATTTTTTGGTATGTACGTTTGTTTTGCGTAAAGACATTGATGTACAAGTATCTGTTTGCTGGTTCTGCTTGGGAATCGGCTTAAGTATCGTTTATATAACCTGTGGGTGTGATTCGAATATCCCCAATAAACGTGCAATCTATGCATGGAATTTATATCCACCAGAAAAACCCTCATTTATATCCACTTGTGGGTGTAGACAGCATATATATACACACCAGAAGCCGCTTACCTGAATTGGCTAGTGGGTGGGTGTGGTATGTATATACACGCACTCACACAAATCCTACGAACTCACACGCCGCAGGCTCCGTAGTAGTCAACTGCGCCGATTTCGCACAGGACGCCGACTCCCAAGTTATCGAAGTCCTGTCCCCCTCTGCCAGTGCCCACGCCAACTCCACTACCAATTCCGAGTCCAATTCCGGGACCAATTCCGGGATCGGTGGTGGGAAGGATCGAACTGCCATTGGGTTTCTGTTTATTCGGTTAGAGTACGTGCCCGCAGGCAGACCTCCCGGTGAGGCGGATGTAGTGGTATGTATTACAACTAGGTTTTTTTTCTGCATAGTGTGTTGGAGGGACGCTTCAGCCCGTTAGTGTATCTCAGTTACTGGTGTTGTGCTGATGTGAGACGGTTTGTACTGCGGACGGCTGAAAGAGGGTTTCCTGATTCATTATGGGCCTTTTTAGGGCCTTGTCCAATGCACGTGCACACACTTTACACACACAATGCATAGCCAATAATCGCTGATTAAGACCGCTGTACTGTGGTTGGCTGTCGTTACGTAGTGTTGCCGGTTGACTGCGAGATCAAATTCTACACACGTACGTCATTCTGCATGTAATACGTGCTACACCCACAAGCCTTCGCATCCTACCCCCCCGCAATCAATCATGCACCATCAGGCCCTCAGTTGGTGACCCTGTAACCGAACCTCGGACGTATACATGCTCGAGTTTTGTGATCTGTTCTAATTTTAGAACGCCGCTCTCCACACAGCACAACGCCAAAACGAAGGGCAAGTCTTCGCAGTTTACCTACACTGTGCGAAAGGACTGGAAAGAATTTCTGAAAGAGTCGGCAGCCCACGCCATGGTACATGGATGGGAGGTATGGGCGATGTATACGAACGCTCATACACTTGGGTATCACGGTGGAGTGTAGTTGAGTTCGGGTTTAGGGTTTAAAGTTTAGGGATTATGTGGAGATTTGCTGAAGTGGCATTGGGAAGAAGGTTTGTGTATGCTCACCAGAGGCATTATGATGCAAGTGTGGATATTAGAAGCACAGCGTACTTGTCCTTTTTATTAATGAATATAAACTTTTGAGAAGGAAATTAAGGTTAATTCACATTATATCCACACATTTATACATACA